AGTGTCCCCTGGGGGGAGACCCCAGGGAGGGAGAACGTCTTTCTCTTCAAGGCTGTGGAGTGGTGGGGAGGGTCTGCCTGCGGGAGGAGTGTGCTGCCTGTCCCTGGAGTGTCCGAGGCACCGAGTAACAACACTCTGGCCTTGACATTCTTCCCTGTGAAGTGGGAGTAGCAACAGTGCTGACCTCGCCACGAGAAAGAGCCAGTGTGTCCTGGATTCTGGCCTGCATGTCTGTCCGCCTTCTCGGGGCGAGCTTCCTTCAGGACCCTGTGGTGGGGGAGGCTGTTCTGCTGTCCCCGGGCCCACTGGGGTCAGTGGTGCAGGGTGGTCCCTGTCCTGTCTGCTGCCTGGAGCCTGCCAGGCCATTCTTTTCTGCTCGAGGAGACCAGCTTCTCTGGCGGCTGCTCCGTGAATCATCCTTGGGACTGGCTCAAGAATGTTGGCCACAGCAGGCTCTCTCCAGCTCCCTCTCACTCCAGCCTCGGGCCGGCCTCACTGCCAGACCCTGAGGGATCCGGGGGCTGGCCCAGGAGCCTCCCCAGCATCTGCTGCCCGACGCTGGCCCCTCCTGTGGCTCCCTGTGGGCCGCATCCTGCTGCTGTCTTGCAGGGCCAGGGTCTTCCAGGGCCTCCCCGGGCGTGTCATCTACACTGAGTTAGCATCTGGGAAAACCCCTCCTGGTTACTCAGCCCTGCTCCCACCCACCCTCCTACGATAAAATCCAGCCTCCTCACCCTGGACCTGCAGCTCTGGGCCCTGCCCACTCCTCCTAGCCCCTTCCTGTCCTGTCCTGTCCCATCTGGCTTCACCCACCACCTGCCTGTGGCCGCCTCCTGCCCCTCCACTGATAGGCCTTTGACACCTTGAGACCCTGGTCACTGCTGGTTCCTCCACCCAGAATACTCCTTCCTCTGTCCCAGATGCTCCTGTTATTTATCCCTTTTCCTTGCTTGTTAGTGTGAGCACCACGATGGCAGGCTCCCCCTCCAGGCTGCACCCCCTGTGCTCAGGTAGCTTTTGAATGAATGAAGCAGAGCCCCTAACCCAAAAGGCAGTGGCAGACACAGCCCCGAGACCCGCTGCAGACCTGCCAGGCTGAGCAAGTCAAACTACAGGCTGTCTGGTCGAACTTGAATTTCAGATGAACAGTGAATGGTGTTTTAGCATAAGCATGAGGGTACTTCAAAAAGTTCATGGGAAAATAGAATTAAAAGATGATACAGGGGCCAGCCCAGTGGCGCACTGCTACAGTGCGCCGCTTGGGAAGTGCGGTGGCACTCCTGCCAAGGGTTTGGAGCCCACATACAGACCGGCCGCTCACTGGCTGAGCGAGGTGCGGGCACGACACCGAGGGTTGCGATCCCGTTGCCGGTCCCGGTCCGGTGCGGGCGCGACACTGAGGGTTGCGATCCGTTGCCGGGCACGAAAAAAGACAAAAAGGAAAAAAAAAAAAAAAGATGATACAGGTGTTTCCATGATCTTTTTGGAGTACCCTCGCGCATCCAGACAGAACCGGGCCGCCTGTGTTTTACCCGGCAACCCTCCCTTCCCCCACTCTTTAATTTTATTCATTCACATGGTTGACAATTCAAAAGGTATGAAGGGCACATTGTAGAAAGTTCTCCTTGAATCTTGTCCCCTGGCCAGAGTACCCCCCCCCCAACAAAGGGGACCAGTGTGGTGAATTTCTTGTATCCCACTGAGATTTTTACTCACATGGAAGCAAATTGAGAGGCTTACCTGCCTTCCTCACCAAGGTGACAGTGCGTGCCCTGCACACAGTGGCACATAGTGGCACGCCTGGCTTCCTTGCCCCGGGAGGCTTGGACACGCTGCTCCTGTGTGCACAGCACTTGCCCTGGCATTCAGATGTAGCTCCCATTGGTTGGCATGGAGGTTGCTTCCCAGCAGTGGCCTCTATAGACTCTGACTCACGCCGTCTCTACGTGCGTGAGGACATGCAGGGGTGGCTGTCCAGTAGGGACCTGTCCAGGTCCGGGTCGCGCACAGTGGCCTGGGGGGGGAGGTGGAGGTGCCCCCCCATAGGGCTCGCACCGAGTCTATGTCTGTTCTGAACAGGCGTGTTTTTACTTAGAACCAGTGGGTTTTTAGAACACACTTACTTTATTTCTCAGGGAGCTGGTGTATGGCTTCCCTGCTCTAAGAGAAGTGCCAACCACCTTGACCTTGAATGGCTGGGTAGGTGGAGTGGCCAATAGTGGAGGGGAAGACAGAGAAATATGCAGTGTGTCCCCATAGCCCCCAGGTTGCTCACTGCAGGGCCCAGCATGTTCTTCAGACCCTGGGATACGCACTGAGACCAAACTCTGCATCGTCCCCTTGGTTTAGGCAGATAGACCCATCTAAGGGTTTAACATGTTTTTATCCTATGAGGAGGCGAGAGGTTTCCAGGAACATTGCTGCTTGTGGCTTAGCAAGTGTTTGTGGCTGTAGGTGCTGGTCCCTGGGGGTGTTAGCAGGGGCCAGGAGGAGATGGGGACTCCTGGAGGGCAGGAGTTTTGGGGGGTGGGAAGGGAGACTCAGCAGACCTTGAGATGGCCCAAGCTCATCTGGTGGCCTTGGGGGTCTTTCTCTTCCCTCCCCCTCTTCCAGTCCTGCCTGGCCATCCGGACTGGGAAAGGCCCCAGGTGTGCCCTTCCTGTGGGGCTTTTGGGCTCTGTGGCATTAGTGGAGGAGGCAGAGCTGGGCTCTCATTCAGGGCCTGGCTGAGCCACTGAGTCACTGGTGTGGGGCTGGGCCATGGCAGGCATGTGGCAGGTAATGGGCCCGTGTGTGATTTGGGGGCCCTGAAAGTGGAACTCAGTAGAATGCTGCCCTGGGAGGTGGGGCTGGCCCCTTGGCTGGACGTTTCTCTGTTCTGAGCTGCAGGCCGGCACCCCTCTTCTTCTAGCTGCTCCCCACAGGAAGGGACGGTTCGAACATGTGCCGGCCACATGTGGCTGGGTGAGGCAGGATGCCTGTGGCTTTCCTGGGCGCCACCTCCCCAGGGTGCCTCCATGGAGAGCGGCTGATGGAAGTTCAGGTCCCTGAAACTGTCTGGTTCCAAACAACCTCAAGGGCCAAGTGGGGTCTTAGACTTAGGACCATAACCTGCATCTTTCCCTGGGGAGGCAAAGAAGGGTCTGGGGCTGTGCACAGTGGTATATGACCACCAGCCTTTTCCTAACCCAGGGCAGGGACAGGGCACTGAGCCTGGGCCTCCCCTACATCCCAGCCTTGGCTGGTCCCCGATGGCAGCCTGCATGCCAAGGGGACCACAAGTTGAGAAACTTTTTTGTCCTTCTCCCAGAGCTCTGGGCAGTGTTGTGTTTTGGGGAGTGCAGGATGGGAGTGCAGCCTCTTCCTGGGCTGAGAGGGGAGGGGTGGGACGGCCCATGTCCACCTCTGCCCACAGAGCCAGCAGCCGCCCCCACCTAGCCAACACCTCCCCAAGCCCAAGGGGGACGCGGCCCTGAAGATGCGGGCATCGGTGCGCATGACCCGCTACCTCGAGTCCTGGGGCGCCGCGCGGCCCTTTGCGCACCTCAACCACCGTGAGAGTGTGAGCAGTGGCGAGACACCTGTCCCCAATGGCCGGAGGCCCAAGGTAGTCCCTTCCTGCCCAGAGAGCTGAGCTAGGATCAGGGGCCTGAGGATGGGCGGGAGGGCCATGTTGAAGGCATCCTTCCCCTGGAGCCTCTCTTTTTCCATCTGGAAGATGGTTACAGTCTCTGCCCTGCTCCCCTGGGGCTCTTGGTGAAGGGAGGGTAATTGGAGAATACCCCAGGGTGGCTGGGAATGTCCCTGTCCTCCTTGGTCCACAGCCCACATTCAGCTTTAGTTCAGGATGCCTGCAGCTTGGACAGTCCCCAGAACCCTGCCCGTGTATCTGAGCGAGCCGCAGCTAGAAAACCCAGTGCAGCAATGGACTCAGGCCCCGCGTCCTGGGACTAACTGTCTCCTCTCCTCCCTCCCCTTTCAGGCCATTCCCCTGCGGCGCCACCGGACCCCGGACAGGTATGTGAACTGCCCCTCCCCTCTGTCACGCTGTACCCCGTCCTCCTCGTGTCCCAGTCACCTCCTCCAGGCAGGCTGCCCTGAACAGCCTTTATCCAGGGGAACAGCTCCGTGAGGCCCAGCCCAGGACCTCTGTGGAGTTTGCTGCAGCTCGGGCCAGAGTGTTTCTAGGAAACAGACTTCCTGGTCCCTGGCTCTTCTGGATGGCTGTGACTAAGCTCCTGTCGTACACCCACCCTGTGGTGGGGTCAGTGGGGTGGTGGGAAGGAAGGAGGTGTTGGTGGGTGCTCTGGCCTCTATGCTGACCCTGTGGGTATAGCAGGAGAAGCCTCAGACGCGAGGGGTCGGGGTCTCCCTCTGCCTTTCACTGGGCTGCTGGCCAGCTGGGGGATGCTGGGCCTTCACTTGCCCTCTCTGGGCCCCAGGGGTATCCACCATCCCTTCACCATCCCGTGTGAGACTCTGGACCCCTGTTAGGCACCTGGTAATGCCACTGGTTCGTTGTCTGATCTACACTCCTGCCTCTGGGCCAGTGGATGTGGGGTCTCTTGGGTGATGCAGCTGGGGTGTCTGATTCCAGGAGTGCATCCCCCAAGGGGCGGTCGGAGGATGACTCGTATGATGACGAGATGCTGTCAGCCATCGAGGGGCTCAGCTCCACGAGGTGAGGCCCCTAACCTCTGCCCTGCCCCCCTCAGATGGGGATCCCCATGTGGGCAGGCCCATCTTGTGCCCTCAGGCCTGGTGGCCAAGCTCCAGCTGTGGGCCCGGGTAGCCCCTTCCCCCTCCTCCCGCTGCCTCCCACCTCCGCCCCACAGGCCCTGCTGCTCCAAGTCCGACGACTTCTACACCTTCGGGTCCATCTTCCTGGAGAAGGGTTTTGAGCGAGAGGTGAGGCCCCCTGAGCAGCCTCCACCGCAGAGGAGCAGGGTCTCCCAGGCCTGGGGTGGGGCAGGGGCACGGCCATGGGAGCCAGCACTCCCATGAGACAGACGTGCGCAGGGAGTGTCCACAGCTGGCTGTTGGGGGTGGATGGGGGCTTGGCACAGTCCTGACTTGTCCCTGCTGCCTCAGCCCTCGACCTGAGGTGCCCCATGCGGGTTTGGAAGACTTTTGCTTTGTCAAATGCCGGAACCTCGGCTGATACGAGCCATTGAACGCATGGTAGCCTCACAATGACAAGAAAACCCAAAACTGGGTATCACATTGGAGGGTCCCGCCTGGCTGCTACATGATTTTTTGCCTTTTTTTTTTTTTTTTTTTTTTTTGTTAATGACTGTTTTTTTATTGAGTGCCTCTGGGTCTGGCAGTGTCCCGGGCACGTGTGTTACGTGATTTATCGTCACACAGGCGGTAGGAGCACCTCACCTGCAGGAGGAGCCTTCATGGGGCTGTGACCACATGATGGTGCCTGTGTGGCAGGGGCAGTACAGGGGTCCCCCCGTCTGCCAGCTCAGGGGCTCAGGCCCAGTCTTACTCCTTGGTTTGGGGGGAGGACAGACCCATCACCAGTCCTGGTCTCAGCAGTCCTGGGAGCTCAGACTTAGTTCCCGTCCATAGACTTGGGACCATGGGCTTTTCAGGGACCTCGGAAATAAAGTCAGACACCTGGGCGGGTAGAGGGGAGAGGAAGGTATTGCCTCTAAATACAAAAAAGAAACTGCAAAATGGAAATGAATGAAAGTTACTGAATGTAACATCACCCAGAACTCCAGGAGGGGTGTGAGGTTTTTATTTTCAGGATGATTAACTTGAGCTGGGCAGGGCCTGTGAAGGGGTCGGAGCAGGTGGCCCTGCACATGGCCACTCCTTATGGTCGTTGTTGCTCTCAGTACCGCCTGGCGCCCGTCCCGCGAGCCCGCTACGACTTTGCCTGTGCCAGCCTCATCTTCATCTGCATCCTGCTCGTGCACGTCCTCCTGATGCCCAGGTCAGTCAGGTGGGAGGATGGTCAAGCCCCCTGGAGTCCAGGCCGGGTGGGGCGGTGACTTTGGTAGCACCCACCAGAAAACTGCAAGGAGCTGCCTGATCAGACTGGCGGGGGCTGGCTGTTAGAGTTCAGAAGCTTTAGACCGTTGGAGTCCCAGCATCTGTACTGGGGTTGTGGCCCCTACTGCCGGAGTCACCAGCACTTCTGTCTCAGGCCTCCCTGTGCCCTAATGTCTCTCACCTGTTATCTCTGTGACCCTGTAGGCATGCTAGTTTGTGACCCTTGCCTTTGGCGTTTGGATTTCTAGAAGTGGCGATTCCAAAAACTCTTGGCACTACCTCTTTCCCTTATCCATGGGGAAACTGAGGCTCAGGGCATTAATGATTTATCCAGGGTGGCATAGCCTGGATCAGGAGTCACTGAGATTCATACTTCTGGCTCTGGGGCCCTGTTGGTGTGGGGGACAGGGATGAGGAGGGGTGAGGTCAGCTACTGGGGGGTTTCTAGAAGGTCATTTAGGCCAAAGGATTGACCAAAATTGTGGTTTTGGATATATTTAATAAAGACAAAATTGGGAACACTTTTATATAACTTTTGTGTGCTAGACGTGAGTATAAAGGCTGCAAAGATATTGCTCATTTCTTATACACTTGGAAGGGGACATGATGTTGACCTTGATCTTCGTGTTTTGGCCAGGCCTCCTGTGTTATTAGTGGGCCAGTTGGACCACAGTTGGCAAAAATCCCCTTTGCTGTGTGCAGAATAACAGTCGGGGGTGAGGGGGAGGTGACTGTGAGCCACAGAACTGGGATGGTGGGAGGGGTCTAAGGCAGATGATCCCCCAGAACTTGGGTTTTTACCTCCTCTCCAGGACGGCGGCTCTGGGTGTGTCCTTTGGGCTGGTGGCCTGTGTGCTGGGGCTGGTGCTCGGCCTGTGCTTTGCCACTGAGTTCCTGGTGAGTGGGGGCCTTGAGCGGCTGTGCTGTGAGCCCACAGCCCCTCCCTCCCTCCCTGTCTTAAGACTCCCCTCAGGACCCTCCTGGGGAGCTTTGCAGGTCTGAGCCCCTTGCTCTGGTTAGGGAGATGGTTGCCTGCCCCTCCTGCCTTCAGGACAATTTGCTAGTGTGCTAGAGGCTTCTCCTGAGGGTTCCACCTGCCCAGGCCTGCTCTCAGCTGGTCCTCCTGTCCTGGCTGCTGGCTGTTGGTAACTCAACCCCTGTTGCTCCACAGAGGTGCTGCTCCACCTGGGGGATGCTGCGGACCATCTCCGAGAGGGTGGAGATGCAGCCCCTGCTGAGACTGTCCCTGGCGGTCCTGACCATTGGCAGCCTGCTCACTGTGGCTGTTGTCAACCTGGTTGGTTCTGGGGCAAGGAAGGTGGGCCCTGGCAGGACCCCTCCTGCCCAGGCATGCTTCCTGGGTGCAGGGAGCTGTCTTTGACCCTGGGAACCTCCAGATTCCAGAATCCTACAATCTCATTGCCTTAAAAGCTGCATCTGGTATAACCCTTTCTGGAGCTGGGTGGGTGGCCCTGTGAGGGTCCCTGTTGCAGGCTGAGAGGTCCTCACCCTTCGGTTTTCAAATGAGAACTTTGGGTGCCCAGAGAGCTTATGTGGCCACCTCACAAGGACGAGATGTTTTGAGCCACCACGATGCCCTGATATCTCATTCCTTCTTCCCAGCCCCCTGAGGAGGTCCTGCTACACCCTCTGCGAGACTCTTTTCTTCGCTAGTGGGGAGCCCTACTTCTCTGGCCCGTGCTGGTGTGCTTGCTGTTGCAGAGAGCAGCTGCAGGAGCACCTGTCCCCTGCCTGCCTTCCAGCTCCCACGTCTACAGCCAGGGCCTCTCCCCTGACCTCCATGCCCTGGACACTCTAGAGCTGCGGGTTTTGGAGTGTCCTGTGACCACCAGGAGACGGGGGCTCACTGAAAACGCTGATCTCACTAAGATCTCCACCCTGAGTCAACCTCTGACACTCCTGGGTGGCATCCGTGTGTTTTTATCTTACACCTTCTCTCCCCAGAGTCCCCTCTGTACCATGAATCTGATGGTCACTGTGGAAAGTCAGGGCACAGCTGTTGGGGCCATGCTTAGAGCTGAGCCAGGCCTGATCCTCCTGGTGGTCCCAGGCCTGCCTGCCTTAGCCCCAGCAAGTCCCAGAGTCCCCATACCCTGGACCAACCCTAACAGGGGCCTGTCTCCTTTGTAGCCACTGACGTGTTTCCCAGCCCTTGGACTGCCTGGTGACAACGAGACAAGCCTGGTGGCTGGGAGCAGCACAGAGAGGACCCTGTGTGAGCTCCTTCCGGTGAGTGTGTTCCTCTCAGGCTCTGAGCAGCCCCGGGCCCTGGCCCAGCCCAGTGGGGTGTGGAGGAACTGAGTCCAGCCTCTCCCAGGAGAGATGGAGAAAGGGACCCACACAGGCCAGGCTGGCCTCCATCCTGCATCTGGGCGTACTTAGTCTAAGCTGCGTGGGTGGCAGGGAGTGAGGGGCATAGTTGCCTGCTCTTTGTTGAAAATGGAGGTCAGCAAGGCCAGAGAGTGGTGCTGAAGCCCTGGGGGCTCCACCTGAGCCCCCCAGGTGGAAAGGGCTTCCTGGGAGTCAGTGTGGGTTGGTCACCAGAGCCATGCTCTTGCTCACAGCAGATGGTGGGGTGACCTTTGCTGCCCTCAGTAACGCCCCCCACCTCCTCAGTATTACACCTGCAGCTGCGTCCTGGGCTTTATCGCCTGCTCCGTCTTCCTGCGGATGAGCTTGGAGCTGAAGGTTGTGCTGTTGACCGTGGCGCTGGTGGCGTACCTGGTGCTCTTCAACTTCTCCCCGTGCTGGCAATGGGACTGTTGTGGCCTCGGCCTGGGGAACCTCACCGAGACCAATGGCACTCTCAGGTAGGGCTCAAAGCAGTTCACTGCCAGGATGCGGTCCTGCTGCCTGTCCCCACTGTGGCTGATGGTGCCACCTTTGGCCAACATGTTTTGGTGCCTATTCAAACTGAGGCACCAAAATTATTAATAGAAATAATCTTTAAAAATTATTAATAGAAATCTTTAAAAAATTATTAATAGAAATCTTTAAAAAAATTATTATTTACATTCTAAAATATTGTTGTGGAGCGGTTGGGGGGAGGGAGGAGGGGGAAGGGGATATGGTGGGAGGAAGAGGAAAGGGGGGCATGGTCGAGGCCCGTGGCATCCCCCTCATCCTGGCAGGGAGTCCAGGGGCTTCTGGCAGTGGCTCAGTCGTGGCTTGGCTGGATGTAGCCTTTGGGAGTGTGTGGCTGAGGCCCTCAGCATCCCCCAACCTGTGAGCCCAGGGCACTTCCAGTGGCAGCTGGTGGTCATTGCTGGGCTGGATGCGGATGTCAGGGAGGTGCGGCTGAGGACTTCGGCCCCCCATTGCCCTGGCTTGGGTGCCTAGGGTACGTCTGGAGGTGGCCTGGCAGTTGTGACTGTTTTGGTGCCTATTCAAACTGAAGCACTTTTACACTCACAGTCCCACTGAGGCTGGACACTTTTTGGGGTGGGACTGACAGATGGCAAAGTGTTCACTTTACAGAAGGGACAGTGACTTGCCCAGGTCCCAGGTCTCCAGCACTTGGAGCTGAGGAATGTGACTCTTTGCAGGTTATCTGGGAGAAGTCCTTGGTCCTATGGAGGCCACCAGGCCATTCTGTTCTAGGCCACTCTAGGGTGGAGAGGGGGACTTTTTGAGCTACATCCTGGGTCTCCAGGGCTATGGAGAGTGGTGGTTTCTGGTCTCTTCCTGGACAGGTGGTGATAGCTGGGGCTTGGAAAGGGTGGTGTGTGCATGTAGATGGGGGCAAGGGGCCTGGTTCTCCTCAGACTAAAAGGCTGGAAGCTTGGGGACCCAGAACCAAACCTGCTGCTGTGGGTCTGGCTTGCCCCTTCAGAACCCTTATGCCAATCTCCAAGTCCCTTCCCTGCCTAGCCATCTGCTCAGGCTCCCCATGTGGCCTTTTGCCGTGGCTGATTATGTCACTCAGGGGTGAGCTCACCCCACCTCCCAGTTCTCCTCCCCTCACCCTGTTTTCTTCACAGCCCAAGTTGTCTTGTGTACCATCTACCCCACAGCGCTACGGGCCACACAGCACATGTAGGCAGACTGGGGTGTTGGGCTGTACACTCCTGCCCTGGGGGCTGGCGGGCACTGGGAGTGACTCTAGCCTCCCTTTATACCCAGCAGTGCCCCCAGCTGTTCCTGGAGTGACCTGAGAACCATGATCTATTTCTATCTGGTCCTGTTTTATGTCACCCTCCTCATGCTCTCCAGACAGGTACAGACCTAGAAATTACCCCGCATTCCTTGCTGTACTTGGAGAGGGAACAGGGCTGGGGTGGGGGTGGCCTCAGAAGCTCTGGTCCCAGGTCCGGGGGCTCCAAGTCAGTGTCCTCATCTCCCCCAGGACACAAGGGACAGACTGCACTGACTGGGAGATGCCTGCCAGTCATGGGCACAGGGTGGGCTGCACGGGTGGGGGTCAGCACCGAGGGCTCCCGCTGTGCTCGCCAGCCCTGGGGTGCGCATGTCGCCCTGCCCTGCTCACCCTTGGACAGCACACTTGCAGATTGACTATTACTGCCGCCTGGATTGTTTGTGGAAAAAGAAGTTCAAGAAGGAGCATGAGGAGTTTGAAACTATGGAGAATGTGAACCGCCTCCTTCTGGAGAACGTCCTGCCAGCCCATGTGGCTGCCCACTTCATTGGTGACAAGTTAAATGAGGTGTGGTGGGAAGGGGCTCAGTCACTGGGGTGGGGAGGAGACTGAGGTATAAGTGTGTGGTCCCACGGGTGAAGGGGTGTGGCTGCAAAGTACCTTCCATGTTGGCCTCCTGAGGTCTCGGCCTCATGATATACCCAGCAGACTTGTGTAGTATTAGCTGTAAGAACATGGGCTGGGAATCAGAGACCGGGTTCAAGTGTGGTTGTGAACAAGACACCTCACTCTCCGCGGCCTTGATTTTCACCTCTGTGGAATGGGCTGACTGTACTTACCTGCAGGATTGTTGTGAGGATCCAAGTGTTCAGATGTTTGTAATCTGGACATTCTGTACTCATTAAAACCTATTTCCACCAGTTCTGTGTAGCAGGACTTTTCTAGGTAAGGAAACTGAGGTCCAGTGATTTCTTAGTATAGAACCCAGGTCTCCTGATGGTTACCTCCTGCTACCCCAGGGGTTCTCAACCTCAGCTACACACTCAAAAGAGCAGAACACCAACCTGAGCCTGACCCTCCCCGACCAGCTGGTTCAGAATCGCCCCACGATCTGACAGTCCCCAGACAGATCTCAGCACAGCTGGACTGGGAACGGCTGCTCAGCCCTGCCTGGCCCCTCACAGTGTGAGACACCCCAGTACCATCTGCTTCCCCTGTCCCTGCAGGAGGTTCAGTGGCCATAGGTCCTGTTTCTTCCCTACCCTGAATGCAGGACTGGTACCATCAGTCCTACGACTGTGTCTGTGTCATGTTTGCATCCGTGCCGGATTTCAAAGTGTTCTACACAGAGTGTGATGTCAACAAAGAAGGGCTCGAGTGCCTGCGCCTGCTGAACGAGATCATCGCTGACTTTGACGAGGTACAGCCTCCAACCCAGCCTTGCACATGGCAGCTCTTGGCTTTCCCACCTTGCTGGGAAGGGCAGGGGGGAGACAAGGGTATTCTCAACCACAAGAAAAAATGTGACATGGCTCCCCTGGGGGCAACATGCATTACAAAAAGTATAAAAGGCATAAATTTGTCTTTTTCATTGTTTTATTCAGCAAATATTTGTAACGTGTTCTCTGTGATGGGCAGCTTGCTAAGATTAGATCTAGGTCCTTGTAGAATAATTTGGTTTCCAGCTAAGCTCATGCTGTCAGACTGTTTCAGAGGACATCAGTTTGGGCTTAACTCTTTGCTGGGGACAAATAATCCACATTCCTGTGTAGATAATGCTGAGTTGTGTGTTTGCTCTTTAAAAAGACAATGGAAGGGATGAAAAAGAGAATGTCAGAGAAGGCTGAGATGACAGGAGCAGGAGAGTGCCCAGAGGCCATGTTCCCACTTGCACTTAGTTATGAGCTCTGATGGGAAGGGCCACAAACGAGACATGGCTGCATGACAAGTGGAGGGAGGAATCCTATGCCCTTCCTCAGAATCTGCGGCAGGCCTGGGCTGCAGCTGGGGAGGGGCACGGCCCTGCCTTACTCTGCCTCTTTGTGATTCCACAGCTTCTGCTAAAGCCCAAGTTCAGTGGAGTGGAAAAGATCAAGACCATCGGCAGCACATACATGGCAGCTGCAGGGCTCAGTGTCACCCCAGGGCACGAGAACCAGGTACTCATGCCCCACCTGAGGGGAAATCCAACCGACCCCAAACCTGTCACCATTCTTAAAGGGGATGCCTCCCTATCCTGTCCTGCAAGGGAGGGGCAAAGGCTCTTGTAAGACTCAGCCTGGAGACTTTTTGAGGGGAGGGATAGGTGCCCTCCTGGGAGCAGGGCAGCCCCGTGGAGAAGCCTCTCTGCACAGGAACCACACTGATGCTGGTGTGCCAGTGCCCACCAGGTCAGGGTGCGCTGGGCTGTCCTGCAGGACCTGGAGCGGCAGCACGCCCACATCGGTGTCATGGTGGAGTTCAGTATCGCCCTGATGAGCAAGCTGGACGGCATCAACAGGCACTCCTTCAACTCCTTCCGCCTCCGAGTCGGTGAGGGCCTGGGCAGGATGGCCAGGCCTAGGATCTATGGGGAGGGACGTGCAGACCGTGCCTCCAGACAAGCCACGCTCGGTCTGTGTGGTGAAGCCATCTGCATGAAAAGTTTTAGAAAGCCCTCTCTGATCCCACAAGCCCAGTGGTTGGATAATTATTCTCACCTCCTTCCATACCACTTACATAGTTATTTTGAAAGTTTTAAGCAAGAAAGAATATATCACTACAGAAGATGGAGAACCAAAACCACCATCTATACATAGGTGACCTTAAAACACAGAGAACAAAGCAAAGTTATTAAACTTAACTCGTCAAAGGGTCGGTGCTCAAAGCCTATTTTGTTAAAAGGGATATTAGCAGATAGTAGAAAAGTGTTAACATCAAATCCAGCCTTCTTGAGTATTGGAAAGTCTGAAGAACTGGCCAGGGAACGCCTCTGTTACATTCCAAGTATAATCTCCTGTGCAGAATTTAGGAAGCAGTCC